TATATATATATATATGTAATTTAATGTAATTTGTAATTTATTCCTGTGATGCAAAGCTGAATTTTCAACATCATTACTCCAGTCTTCAGTGTCACATGATCCTTCAGAAATCATTCTGATATGCTGAAAAAGTTAGAAAGTATTTTTGTTACATTAAAACCATGCTAACATGCATATTGCTAAAGTTCTGTGGATAAACCCCATTTACTTCCATTGTAAGTGCCTCACTGTAATCCAGATTTGCTTTTTTAAATGAAAATTATGAAAAAAGTATGCCACAGGTGCTGTCGGTTGGGATTAACTTGTATCAAACCCATAATATTCTTGAATGTCTGTGAGCAAATATGTTAATTACAGACTTGTTAAACCATAGCTATCTGGACAGTGAAGCAGATGAATAGCTTTGCCCAGTGTAATAGCATCCATATGCACAACATGACTCATCTGTGATTCTAGTCCTGCGAAAGAACTTGCCACCTACTTGCGTAGCTCCGTGTAAATTGGCAGCACCTCGGGGTGGCACACAAACGCGAACGCCAGGATGGGAACCGTGTAGGCCGTCTAAAAACACACAGAGCAGACCACGTCACATCACCATGGATACAACAGCGGCAATCATAAACCCCAAACCCCACACTTTAAAGCCCATTAAACACTGTAGCACATTACAGAGAGCTAATTGTAGCTGTGATTAAATCAGACTTGGACAGAGCTCAGGCCTGGGCTCATTTAAAATGCTGGTCCTGTGTACATAGAGACGGAACGGACTGAGCTGAACACTCCTGACTACAGACTTTCATATTTATCAGTCTGACAGTAAAGGACATATGTGGGGACAAATGCACACGGTGATGTGTGAGTTGACACTTATGTATGTGCAGAGGATGTGATTATACTTAAGACATGAATAATAAAGGAATATAGCCCATAGACTGCAATAAATAAGAATGTGTTTGGGTAACCCATCTTAAAAAGCCTGTACTGACCTAAGACTACATTTACCCAATCAAAAGATCCATAGTTCAAGTAGGATGAATGAATGGATGTATTCTATTGCTCAAAGGTTGCTTTTTCCTGTTTTTGAGTTAAGACTTTGTTCACCAAGGCTGCATTTATTTGATCAAAAATACAATAAATACAATAAAAATTGTAATGTGAAATATTATTACGATTTGAAATAACCATTTTCTATGTTAAAATATATTAAAATGTAATTTATTCTTGTGATGGCAAAGCTGAATTTTCAGTGTCACATAATCATGATTTGATCCTTCAGAAATCATTCTATAATGCTGATTTGCTGCTCAAGAAACATTTCTTGTTATTATAAATTATTATAAAAACAATTGTGCTGTTTAATATTTTTGTGGAAATTGTGTTTTTTTCCCCCAGGATTATTTGTTGAATAGAAAGTTCAAATTGAAATCTCAACATTATAAATGTCTTTACTCTTTAGTGTAACTTTTGATCAATTTAATGCATCCTTGCGGAATAGAATAATTTATTTTTAAAAAAACTTACAGACCCCATCTTTTGAACTGTATAGTCTCATTTATGTCTCAGATGTTTCTCTTAAATTTCTTACGGACATAAAAGTTTAATAAAAGACATGACAAACACAGATAAAAGTCATATGGGTTTGGAATGACATGAGGGTGACCAAATTATGGCAAATGATTTAGTTTTGGGTGAACTGTCACTTCAAGGACATGTTTATGATTTTTGTTTCCTATAATAAGAGAGCAAAAGAGAGGTAGCGGGGAAACACCAGTTTTCTCATATTTTTCCAATTTAGCAGACCACTCTGCAATGATATTTAAAACCACAGCCCATCAAAGGTTCCCTAACTACTTTAGAAATGCGAATATATTATCATAACATAAACTGAAAATCCAGATTTTCATGCAGTTTGAGAACTTATATCTAAACGGCTGCTTGGATTAAGCCCAAATATATGTGAGTCATGCAACGGTTCATTGGGAACTACAGTGTGTATAATTTGGCTTAAAGTCTTATATCACACGACTCATAAGAATGTCACAGCGTGATTTCAGTATATTCATATTCTAAGTTACACAAAGATATACCTGTGAGTTGAGGTTAAAGAGGCGGGGGGTGCAGGCAGGGTCACCCTCAGGGGTCATCGCCACTCCTCCGGGGTCAGCCGCCACACTCGTGTTAAAGCCCAATGCTGTCCTGTTATGGGCATAGTCATCAAAAGGACATTTGACCTGGAACGTCTTATAGATCACCTGGAGGGAGACAAGAGATGGAGTATTTAACAAGTCTTGCAAAAATCATTTTTTCCCCTTAGGCTCCACTTATAGTTAGACACCATGTTTTTTTTTCATGACGATTTCAAACTTGCTTTCTGTCCCTCATAATTAAATGGGACAGGTGTTTTTAATCCTATAAAGCCTATTTTCATGTCATATTTGATAGGCAAATTTCTAAGGAATTTAAATGATCAACATCAAAACTTCTTGTACTCAATTTACTACAGTACATGCCTTCTGATGTCTAACTGATAATTTGGACTTTTTTTGGAAGTCCTTTTAGTATAATTCTAAACAAAAACATCACATTTCGGTTGCGTTACGTGTGTCTTGTTGCTGTAAAAACATATTTTTATAAAGTAAACTTAAGAATATATTTTATTTATGTTAGTAATATTTCAAGATAAACACTTGATTGAAGCAACTTAGGTTTATTTGATTATCTATATAATTTTTTAAAAATCATGTTCAAAATCACGTTAAAATGAGAGTATCAAATATGATACATCAGACATTTATCCGTTTATTTCTCAATTATCATTGTATTAGATTGCATTATATGTTTTGCACCACAATAAAAAAACTACAGAGCTTTGATCATAAAACTAAACATTTCAATATTATCTTACTAAGACATATTATTGGGAGATATACAACTGATATTTACGTATATGCATTTTATGTTAGTAATTTGTTTTTTTCTCCTCAAATTGAGCTCCACATTCTCTGATATAATACTATATGAGCCATAAAAGCCTGATGCATCAAATATGATATTCAACAAAACACGCATCTTAAAACGTAAAAAAAAAAATATTTGGTCTAATTTTTCTGACTATTATTTTATACTTTACTGGTTTAAACCTTAAAATAGGCATTGTTGTAAATGTAGGTAGTCATTTGTTGATTTATTTAGTCTTCTGAAGTCAGAAATCCAAGGATGAGTTGTGACTCGTGTTTACGGCGTAGTTTCAAAAGGATAGTATTTTTGAGTTATGAATTACATCATGTTCATACATTATACAGTTTATATTTATATATATATAGATAGATATAGATATATAAGCATGGTTTCTCATGATATGAGACCTTTAATACTAAAAGGTACACATCACTGCTTTATAAGGTATTTTTGAGTTATGAATTACATCATGTTCATACATTATACAGTTTATATTTATATATATATATATATATAGATAGATATAGATATATATAGATATATAAGCATGGTTTCTCATGATATGAGACCTTTAATACTAAAAGGTACACATCACTGCTTTATAATGTCATTTATCAGTGTCACATGACCAGTCAGATGAGAGCTGGGGTGGCTCTGTCGCCATTGCGTCTTTTCATTTGGTGCTTATCTGAATCACAGCAGGGATGGTGAATCAAGAGAAGAAGAAAGAGGCAATGTTATCATATTCAGACAGGACCATGTTGTAAAGACTGGACAGTTTCATAAATCCAGCTTGCAGATGTGGCCCAGCCAATGCCACACACACACACACACACACACACTAGTGTGAGGACAGAAAGAGTGAGAGCCGTGCGCAAAGATTAAAGCTCCCCTCCAAAACTAGGTCAGTGAGGTACACCAAACACAACCCCACTCTAAAAATACAAGACACTCTCACACAACATCACTCGCTGGTCCTGCTGGTGGAAAACAGGAGCACATCCTTAAATCACCCAGCTTACTATAAGATTTATAAACTGCTAATTGGAACTGTACCAAGATTCAATATTAATGTTCACGCTCTCAGCACAGTATTCACAGAGAAATTTCAAAATAGCAGAATTCTGCTTCGTGATTGCAATACTAAGCAGCACGTGGCAAATGAATGAAACATAGTTAAAGGGATAATTCACCCGAAAATGACATGTCATCATTTACTTGCTCATGTTGTTTCAAATCTGTATGACATCTTTGGTGGAACACAAAACAATATGTATTTCAGCAATATTGCACAATCGTGAGTGATTTTGTTTAGACTATTATACAACAATTAATAGAGTAAGTTACATTTAGACACAACATTGACAGTTACATAAAAGAAGTCCAAACCACCTGTCAATGGACTGTGCATGAAAAAGGCAAGAAAGTCATAGAGAGAGGACATGAGGATATACAGATGAAGAATTCATTTTCAGGTGAACTATTCCTTTAACAAGAGCAACAAACATACCGCAATAAGGAAGAAGACCATACAACTGAGAGAGAAACCGCTGGTGTAGCCCAGGTACCCTGAAACACAGTGTTATGAATAGGTGACAATTACCCACAACACCTCTGTAAGCAGTCTGATCTGGGCAATACTCTCACAATTCAATAAAACATGAATGCTACCATTTTACATTATGCAGATGAGCAGACAGGAAGTTGTGAGCAGAACAAGGGGTATGTGTAATTAGACATAAGAGTCATAAGTTTGAGATGACTTACCGAGCTGCTTCATTAAAGCCAGTGGCAAGATGACACTGCATGATACAATGACGACCAGGTAATTGCCATTTAAATACCACTCCCTGCCAAATAAATCACAGAAGAAAGACAGACACAAAACAGAATTATAAATGGTTCAAAACAACTGGTTTCTTAGACAATGGAATGTTACAACAATACATTTAAGTAATTTTTCCACTATTAGAAGGTGTGAGCCACAGAGCCTTTCCATTTGTAAGTTTATGTTAGATAAAAATGATGGTCATATATTATTCTTACCAGTGTTGTTATTGTAAACTAAACTATAAAAAAAAAATTATTGAAATAAAATAAAATATAAATATTAGGTGAAAAAAATGTAACTTAAAAACGTAATATTAAAAATGCTTCCTTGACAACTAAAATAAGTTTAAGTACTAAAATGACTAAACCTAAAACTTCAATAAAAATAAAGCTAAATAGAAAAATTAAGAAAACTAATAAAAATTACAACACAAAAAAATTACTAAAACTTCAACTAAAATTTTACATTAAAACTGAAAAATATTAAAATAAAAGCTCATTCAAAATATTAATAAATACTATATCATATAAAAATACACAAATAACACTGATTGTTACATTGTTACATAAAACTATGCATTGTTTTACATTTTTCATTGTTTTACTAGCTTATTATGGAAGAACAGTTTATTGTGATTATTAATACTCATGCATTTATTCACTGAACATTATGTTTCAAATTTGTTTCATATCGCTCTTGCTGCTGTTTTATAAAAACAATCAATGTTGTATGTTACAGTGATTTTACCATGCTTAAGGGGTTTCAGGCCAATAAACACCCATTAATTGTAATGAAACCACTGTATGGTTTCAAGTGGCTTTTAAAAAATATTGACCTATTTAACATTTCCCTTGTGCATTTGAATATGGAGCAGCGGTTCTCTAATTAATTAACACTAATGCATTACATTTTCATAATAATAAATTACTGCTTACTACAGTATGTTCTTTAAATGGCTTACAGTGCAATTCATCAATCACATTACTAAACAACACCAGGACATGGAGCTGGTGATTATTTTGAGGGAGTGATCAGTGCCCTTCCTTTTAAATGTTTTGGGATGTGTGACTGAGCAACTATTTAGACCCAAACCCTTGTGCTCAAACACAGGCCAATTTAGAGGAAATCCTCTCCCTCTCTAACTCGTCCTAAAGCTGCTAATCTTGTTATTCTGCCCCCCATTAAGACCAAATACATGGCATCTCTCAAAGAAGCTCTGAACAACAAAGACTGAGAGACTTATTAGGGACGGCTCATACCCTGCCCGGAAATTCAGCTTGATATGAGACAATGGAGTGACTCCATCAAGCCAAAGATGTTCAGTGAAGTGTGGATTTTATTAAGTGGAGATAAGGTATGATCTCATTGAGGTGAAAGATGCCAGGTACATGGTCAGCAGAGCTAAAACAAAGTTATTTCGGGAGGTCAAGCTAAACTGGAGGAGATGGTGCTTGACTCTCTACTGGTTGGCTCAGGATCCGTATGCATGTGATGTTCATTTTCTGCCACAGGTTTTTTTTACATGGGCAGTAGAGTGAGTCAGTCGTTGAAAGGCATGCCAACACTTGCCTGAACACACTTCCTCTCAACAGTTCTGCACCCCACCCACCCCTTCACGTCTAGTCTGGATGAGGACATGTCTGGGTGCAAAATGGGCACATTTACTGTACATGCCCACTTTTAACCAACTTCCTTACCAAAGTGACTTAAAATACAGTGCACAAATTGTGGTATTGCCAAATAGCAAGACAGGAAAAGAAGAAAATAACCACTTTCTCACACACACAACAGCTTTCTGTCTTTTATTTGCATTGCCGTCATTCGCATATCAAAACCAAATTCCAAAAGCTAATAAATATATCTAGACTGTAAAAAATTTCCACTGCACTTCAACTTAAAAATTTAAACTTTAGTTGTTAAATGAGTCATTTCAACTTCATCTCATACAACTTGCAAAAATGAAGTTGAGATGAATTAAATTATTTTGATGTGTTAAAGTAACGGAAAAACAGATGTTGCCTTATTTCACATTCTTTATATTTCTATATATATATATATATATATATGTATATATATATAAACGAGGCATTTGTTTTCATCCAGTGGGGACATAATTACGGATTATAATGACTTATACTGTGTTTTGCCGCGTAAACATAAAACCATGTCTGCATTTGTGATCGGAGAAATTAAAAACAACAAGTGCTACTCTACACTGCTCAAAACTCGCGTTTGAATCGTCAGTGGCAAATTCTTTAAATATATAAAAAACGTACTTACAGTCTGTGAGTCAGAACAGCCGGCATTGTAGTCTACTCTACCAGGATCAGGAAACAGTCCTCCATAAAATCCGCTGGACACAAACTGTTCTGGAACAGTGTTATAAATACAACTTAACCACTGATTTCTAGTCGTGTCCTCTTTTGGAAGGCCAAACAAAGTAGTTTCGCTTTCACATCGAAACACACGGCGGGCTAGAGTGAGCAGAGGCCGGAGGCCTAGAGTGAGCGGAGGCCGGCTTGAGTGAGCGGCGGTGGGCGAGCTTGAGTGAGCGGAGGCGAGCGGGCTTGAGAAACCGCGCAGCCGGCCTGGTTGACTCTTAACTTTTATAAAGAATATCTCTTTGGATTTGATACTTTAGTCTTTGCAACTTTACAGATCTTCTTTATGCACCAAGAGCTTGTAACACTCCAAAGAGAAAGGAAAACTTGAAATCGCAGCATATGACCCCTTTAAGGCTTTTAGTGTATTTTTGATCAAATCAATTCAGCCTCGATGAGTGTAAGAGACTTCTTTCAAAAACGTTTAAAAAATCTTACCGACCCCAAACTTTTGAATGGTTGTGCATATAATCAAAGTTTGTTACATATTTGTCTTCCTGACTGACATGAATATACACATAAGTACAATTTACTGAACGGACTGTTTATCCTTCACCCTTGTTTATATTTGTGTCAAATTAAATATAATGTCTACAATGACTATAAGGTCCTTTTAGAAAACTTTCCTACTGGTGTTCATTTACACAAACTGTTACACATCTAGATTCATGGGCACTGCCTGCTAAAACTGAAATGAATAGTCAATGTTTACTGCTTCATGATCTTCCTCGCTAGCCTGGAGAGGTGAGGAATTCAAATGAGGCAGCCAAAGGTCGTTTCTCTGGAGTTTTTGAGGTGTCCTCCAGAGTGTGTGCACAGGCCTTCTGTCAAGCCGAGCTCCAGTCATCGCATCTGCAGTCGGCTTGCGTCACGGACTGTCACACACACACACATATACACACACATTTCCTTGGCTGGGCAACCGAGTATTATAGTTAGGAGAGATCTGACCTTCACATGCATACAAACCTGTTCTCATCAAATCTAGTCCATCTATCATAGTTCTACTCTAACACACACACACTTTCACACAGTTGTGCTGGAGGATTTTACTATGTGACTCAGAAATCTTCAGGGACCTATTGATCAGAGAGAAACTGCACAGCTCACACACATACACAAATTGGCAGTAATCGTTACCAGGGGCCAAACTGATGTGGTTGCTAACGTTAAAACCCTCTTGCCCACAATGAAAGGCTGGTATGTGACAAAAAGAAAAAGATATGCCATTGAAAGAGATGCTTTTCCAGACTTGACTAATCAAACAACCTTTTTCCCTTTTTCAGTGCAGACATGCCCACACACTGCATTCTGTCTCTCTTTCTCTTACTTTTTTTTCTCCCCAAAGGACATTTTTATTGCTGTCATGGAGCTGTTAGTTATGTTTCATATAAGCTACCAGTAAAAAGTTTGGAATAATTTTTTTTTTTTTAATGTTTCTGTTTTTTTATATATATTTTATAATGTCATTTATTTCTGTGATTGCAAAGCTGAATTTTCAGCAGCCATTACTCCAGTCTTTAGTGTCAAATTATGTTTTAGAAATCATATAACATATGACACTGAAGGCTGGAGTAATGGCTACTGAAAATTCAGCTTTGCCATCAAAGGAATAAATTGCATTTTAAAATCCATTCAAATAGAAAACAGATCTTTTGAATTGTAAAATATTAAATTATTTCACAATATTACAATTTAAAATTGTACAATTTTTAATTATTTCACAATATTACAGATTTTACTGTATTTTTTTGATCAAATAAATGCAGCCACGGTGAGCAAAAGAGACTTCATTCAAAAACATTTGAAGACTTTTAATCACATAACCACAGTTTGAGACATTGTTGAGACCTTGTTTAAGACCTCTCCTGAAACTTTAGATGAGACTTGTGCAACATTAGTCTTTTTCTCAAAAGAAACATTTGAAACTGCAGACATTTGGTTTCCATTTAATGTCACTGTTATCTAGTAGAAACAATTGCATACATTAAAAATATCTCATGTTTTATTTATCTTTCTAGTAAGTCTTTCTGTGTTTCAAGCATGTTAGGGTATCGACCCTAACATGCTTGAAACTGGTCACATAGTAATAGAAAGTCTTGATGTGGCCAATAAACAGTGGAAAAAAAAGGTGATGCATTTGTGTTGCTTTCTGGGAACTAAAACACAACTTTAAACACACACAAACGTGTACTCACCCTGATGGATTATCCACCTTGAGAAAAGCCTGGATAACCAGTGGAAACTCATACTTTACTATGTACAAGTAGCTGGACATGGCTATGAGAGAGAGAGAGAGAATGGCTGTGAGATGCATACACACACACACACACACAGACACGCACACGCACATATACGGTAAACAACCTAATCCAGGATGTATTCGTCCACTCCAGGGGATTGTGGTTATAAATGTCACAATAAAGAAGAGAATTAGTTCTATATATATATATAAATATATTATTATTATTTTAATCATATCTTTATTAACTTTTCTTAGTTCTATATTTAGTTTTTATAAACATGCACCAAATGCCAATCAGCTCAGGGTCTTTTTCCAATCACTGTAGATTTAATCCCGGATCAAATGACAAAGCTCTTATACATCTTAAATATTATAAAATAATGTTATACAATAAGCCAGAGATTGAGATACATTTAATTACTTTATATTTATTACATTACATCAGTGATTAACTGATTATCAGAAATCTTGGAATAGCCTATAGAAATATTCAACAATTTTGAAATGAAATCATTTATATTCGTAATAATAATCAGCAGATGGACTGCAACATTAATAATTATTTGTGTTGAAATGGACTGCAGCCTGTCTACAACACTGAGGAAACAGAGGAACGGTTACTATGATAATGAAGAAATAAAAAATAACAGAGTGATGGCCTAGAGCGTAAATGAATGAATGAGACTGCTATCTAAGGCCAGTCACTCTCTCTGCAGAGGTGTACATGTGTGCTGTGCCCTTGATGGGTCGCAAAGCAATACATTGTGACGTTTGCAAGAGGCTCACCTCCAATATTCTGCAGGGTGATTGCAATGCCGGCAGCCATCTTGCCTGGTGTGCCGAAGGCTCGGAAGCCCAGTTGTTCATAAGCTCTAATGCCTGACAACAAAGAAAAAAAGAGACGTGAAATCCATACATTGCCCATTTGCTATTAATATACAACTAATCCCCCTCCCCAAAATATTTTTCTTCCTCTGAATAATTACGATACATTTAAAACTGTATGTGATGATAATAATAATTATATCACAAACATGTCTTCTTCCAAGTAATATAGTCTTACTAATTAAATCAGATTCAGTTTTTATAGCATTCAAATGTATTCATTATTAAAACGACTATCACGGATATCATGGTATATGTAAGGTTTGTTTGTTTTTCAAGGTAACCATGTGGTAAATGTGGGTTTGGGGAAAAAATGTAACCATGGGCTTATAGTTGATATAGCACTGACAATGACAGGCACAATTGATCAAGCACAGCAGACGCTCTGCTATTTTTAGCCTAATGCACACCAGAAATATTCTGGCCAATTAAAATCTCTCACAGAGGAGTGAGGCAGATGGTCACTGAGCCAACAACGAGAGCAATGTCACATCAGTTAACACCTCCATCTAAATCAGCTTTTCATTTTAGCAGGGTAAAGGTTCAGGAACAGTTTTCATATCCAAATTATAGTCTTAACTACAGAGGAGAGCTTTAAACTGGTACTGGGTCAGTGTGATGAAATACTCACCCACAACGCCTGAAGATTTTAGCAGCAGGTGAATGGAGTATGAAGACAGACCAGCAATAACAGTGAGGAGAATTCTGCAAGACAGAAAAGACAAAATAACTGCAACTGGAACCAAATGTCAATGTGTTATATTTACAGAGTGCTGTAAAACAGCCTTTGGTTCAAAAGCACAGAACTGAAAGGGCTCAAAAGCACACATGGGACAATGCCACTCAAGACATAAAGTAATATTCTAGGATAAAAACAAGAAATGAAATATATTTATGCCAATTATGAAAAAAAGCTATTATAAAAAGGAATTTATGTCAGTCATAGAATATTATTACACTGCCCTACATTATATTTTCTGATAAGTCCAACACTTTCTCAAAATGTGCATTTTGTAACATTTTTGCTATTGAAAACCATTTGTAAGGTAATAAAAACCTTGTATTGTCACTTAATTACCAGAAAAGCTGCCACAGATATGATTCTGGTTTTCCTCTGAGCCAGGTTACAACTATTTGTTGAATTCTCAGCTGATTTTCACATGTATGAATGATTCTGAAGACTATTTTAGGTCTAATCCTGATTTCCACTTTTTGTACTCGAAATTCTTTGCAGATTTAAAGTTAAATGATACATTTTTAATACTTTTTTTTGTCAATAAAACCTAAACGTTTGACATGTATCTAATTCTGTTATTTTGTCAAGTGCATTGAAACGGTTTATAATTATAGTTATAATTATTGTATATAAATTCTATACATAAAAATATAAATTACATAAATTAAATGTATATCAATTATTTTCTATGATTACTTATTTTTATTTTCTATGACATGTCAGATATTTGATTTCTTGTATTTACAGTATAATTGAATAATTTAGAATAAAAAAATGTATGTCACTGTATATCTATCATTTATAAATATGCTATGTTTATATTAATATATAGAATATAGAATTAAAAATATATTTACAGGTCTAACTCTAAGAGCTGAAACAAGGTTATAGTCTCAGTAAGGTGGAAAAATACTAGACACCGTAATCACAGGCTAGTCACAGATAGCCCATAAGTGCAATGGCACCCTCCAGCTGCCAACATCTGGACGAACATCTCAAGCTGGGAACCCGAAATACGGTCTACTGACTCTTTTTCCTCCATGCAAATGTCCTGTTTAGTCCCTTTTCCTAGGTCCAGAATGTCTGGGCATCTTTACTGACCAGGCCTTCTCTGCCAAGCACTCAGTTTCAACTCCGCACTTTCTCACGTTTTCCCTTTTCCTTCTTTTTTTCCAAATGACGTGGCTGAACTGCAGGAGAAGTCAACGAGTGCAGTTCTGCTGGAAACGGCGGTGCCCTGACTTACACAAGCTCCGAAATGGATAATAATCAACATCAAAAACAAAAAACTCCCAGCCTTGACTAACATTCCACAAATATTTAAATAAGTGGAGCACAACTAGTACAGCTAATCACTTGCACTTAATAACAAATTACGCTTGAGGAGGCAGCATTATGAGAATAAAAAGCTTTGAAAAATCGGAGACAGAACATGCGATTTGTTCACCAGCTGCAGTGTGTTAGTGGATGCAGGTGGCTTGAATGAAGGCACTATGCGATCAGTTCAGTATCCAAACATCAGCTGATTGTGATGAGAAATTTGATATCATCCAAGCTCCAAAAGACAAAGAAAAAAGGTCTTAATTTAGGAGTTATATCTGTTCCAAAAGCTAGTAGATGCCTTCGAAAGCTTCCTAACTAAAATGAAATCTCACAAGTGACTGAATTGGAACACTCTACTAACCTGAGTCTTTAAATGTCTTGGATGAATAGAAAAGAACAAGATTTATTTAAAATAAAATCTTTTGTAATTATTAAAGTCTTTATTGTCACTTTTGATCAGTTTCCTTGCTGAATAAAAATATTAATTAATTTCTTTCAAAAAATAATCTTAATGGCCCCATACTTTTGAAAGGTATAGATACGTATGATGACAATATACAAAACTTTTAATTAGATAATTTTATCTGTTGATTCATTTCAACACGGAGTGAAATGTATTAATACTCAAAATTTCACTCAAATCATTTGCCATATTATTATTTATTTCCAAGAGCGTTAAATCTGAGATCAAGACCAGTCTTGAATGCTATGGTGCTAGAATGCCTTGTTAAAATTACAATTAATTTTGTATCACACACAATTCATTCAGGAGTGTCTGGATGTGTTTCTCCATTTACTGAAGGCCGTTTATCCAAGTGGCTTCATCAGTTCTTAAATTAATGGATAAACACATCTTAAGCAAATGGAAGAAGTGGATGACTCAAGCACAATGTTAATTGAGACTCCAGCAGTACTCTGTCACGGATGCTATAAAAGATTATTTTAATGGAGAAAAATACATGAAAAATTAATTGAGCGTGGTGCTACAGCAAATCATCATATCAGATTTTCTAAGTATCTACTTTGTATGACACAATTCTTGCTCCCACTGTTTTGAGACTTGTCTCATAAACATGTCTTTTTATTCCAGGAACATGAAATAAATTCATGTCCTTGAGCAATAACATGTCCCAGTAAGCCACAGGAAGCCGAATTTCAAGGCAAAAGCAAGACATTTTTCGGTTTGTCATAATCTTCCACAAAGAGCTGCTCTTTCAAAGACAACCAATAGAGCCCCCAGATAATTTAGGTAATAAAATTGTCCCAGATGCTTCTCCTTAAATTTCTTTAAAAAATAGAAGCAAATACACATATAAATATATATGATAATGACAGTTTGTTGAAATCTATTCCGAAACTCCACAGGAGACAAATGTGAGTTTACTAGGGTCTTTTTCTCAGGAGAAATCTGAGAGCAGGAGCCTCTGTTTGCTGTCACTCTTGTAAGAAAAGAGAGGAATGCCACACGCTGTTTTGTGATGCTAGATAGATAAGTTATCCTTGTTTGTGATGTTGTGTATTTCCAGGAGTCGTGGATTCACTCTCGTCTCTAGAGAACCGCTGCCCAGATTCAAAGTGACACAACAAAATCGAGCCTGAAGTCAACCCACAGCTCACACGGGCGAAACCCAACATCAACATTTCAGAATCTGTCCTCTATCTTCATCTATATACATTACACCATATACAACAAAAATCAGCATAAAATTTATGATAGCATATACATTACAACATGCTCATCATAAGCCATAAAGCATATAGAAGAATACAAATAAATGTTATTATACTAGCATACAGTACATCATATCCTGAGACTCCACAATGATATCCTCATAGCAAGGTCTAAGAAACTCCCATAAACCTTAAGAATTCATTCCCAAGAGCCGCACTGCTATTGAAAGGAACATTAGCTGCATTATTAAATTGAGTCTGGGACTGATTTATGAGTAGCCCGAAGCCACAATCAGCACTGGAGAAACACTGTTCTCATATCAGACAGGTACCACACGTAAAGAATCGGGAGTATGGAGAGTTCAAGTGTGCCAAACATCGCAGAACCCCAGTCACACCAAACAGCTCAAATCCAAAGCCCTCTCAGAAAGGAAAATAAAAAAATCCTCTGTACATTGCTCAACCCAGATTAAAAGGCCTGACTGGTTTTCATAAAGCATGTACAACCTAATCTTCAAGATCACAGCAGAGAGCCCATGTTAAGTAGCACAGACCTTTAGATCATACCTACAGTAGATGACATACTCTTTGTTAACGAAACTAATACAGTGCGTCTGGTGTGAATGCAGAGCTCCCGTGCAAAGTGAGTGTCCTGGTACAGCCCGCTCAGCGAAGGTCAGTCAGGAAACAAATCTCTCTAGCAATCTGACTTTTCTAATAAAAGCTGCTTTACTAGAGGATTAATACAGCGGGAACTCCAGTTCACAGAATGGGAATTGACATAGATCATGACAACTAACAAACTGTAGGGAAGCTGTGACATTGTGATAAATTTTAATTGAAAAAAGTACTTCTTTCTTTCTTTCTTTCTTTCAAAAAAATGTCTTACTGACCACAAATTTTAGAATGGTAGTGTACATTGAGTCAAATATAGGGACCAGAATTGTTGTGCAAGATAAAGTAAGTACTTCACAATTGGATTCATTAATATAATCAATTATACTGCATGATGACATATTAATATAATAAAATAACAGCATGATGACAATTGAATTAGCTTATTAATACACACTACAATAAACTCATTAGGATACATATTCAGCAAGAACAACAATGGCTTTAATTCTCAATAAAATATCAGATCTGCAGTAAAAAACATGATCAATTCTGGCTCTAATTAGGGCTGTACGATTAATCGAAATCGAATCGAAACCGCGATTTAAGACGGTGCGATTTGCTAATCGCAAAGCCTGCGATATGGACGCGATATTACTCTGTTCCAGAGCATATGCATGCTGCCATCCTTGAGTTGCAGTCTTACTTGCCCTGGGCAAGAGTGAGCGCACCTCCGTTCTCCCCAATCAGCACTGCTCTAGCCAACTGCGCAAACACCCACCATTACAAAAAAAATAATAATAAAAACAGAAAGCGGGACAGGAGAGAGACAGAGTGGGATTATGGCGTCTACTGGGTAAGATCGATAGTTAGGCAAATTAAAACTAAAGAAAAACGTATGCAATTTAAGCTTCGAAATGACAGACAATGAACAAAAAAGGTAATTTGCAAGAGTTCTGTCACAGCGCATATCAAAAGCTCCCTTATCGGTTCTGTTTTCAGTACTGGAGCATAAAAGATACATTCTTAGATGTTTTTGTTAGTATTTTCGCAATGAATGAATGGCGGATGGTGCGGCGCACTGTTTTGTTTACTACACACAGACTAAAGCGCGGCTGACGCTTGCGGTGTTTTCAGCTTCTGTCATCTCACTATATGATGATATGAACACGAATGTCATCTCCAGCTGCTCTGAGAGTCACTTCATTAGCATTTTACCGTTTCATTTGAGAAATCTACCGTCATATCACATACACAGCAGCTGCAAGTTCTTCACGCCAACCCGTCAAAATAAAAGTTTAGTTTAACGTTAAGAAACTGTCAGAATATATTACTATTTAGCAGTCTTAAGAATCAATGATACTACTGCTTATAAATATTAATAAATCTTTATTTTTAAAGGAATAATCACATCTGTTTTCTTTTTAATTTTAACAGTAAACCTCTGTTGTGCAGCACTTTGTTTGCCAAAAAATAAAAGGGTTTAATTTTCATTTGATTAGGATAAGTTAAATTAATGTTTTATGCCTTCATCTGATTACCAGAAAAATTAAGAACATTTTATAGGGCCCTATTATTGTTTAAAAAAGGACCCATACAAAAAAAGTATAGGTTTAAAATACAGGCATGTGGCTTAATTTCTTTTTATTAATTCACCATTTGTAAACTGATGTTTACTGTTCATTTTTTAGAAATATCAATAGCATTTGTATTAAAACTATATTCACTGAATGTCATCAAAAAATCGAGAATCGAATCGAGACATCTGAATCGATACCCAGCCCTAGTTTAATGGAAACTATAAGAATTTCTGTGATGGCTTCTATTGTTTTTTTCAGCAGGGTAATGATACCCATACTGTGCTGCACATTATTGACAATATTGAGCTGAAGCTTGACTTTGCAAATTTAAAATCGCAAATCAAATCGCAATCGCAATATCTGTCAAAAAAATTGCAATTTGATATTTTCCCCCAAATCACACATCCCTAGCTCTAATGTTTCCCCACAAAGTGGTTTATGATGGTATCAAACGCACAATGAATTGATTAATTCTAGCTCAAAGTGAACTATCTATTCTCCATAAAGGCATTTCCCTTACAAACTGAATGTATAGAGTTTAACCTAAATCTGTAACTTACATAAAGAGGACAATGCCCGTGTTGGCCATTGCATACGCTAATCCCAAAATTCCACTTCCCATGATGGCGTTTCCCAAGTTGAAGACGGACATCCCAAAAGAAGTCTTTCCCTCAAACTAAAAAGAACAACAGAGCAGTTAGTCCACACATTCACATTTGAAAAATATGATCTTGTCTGGCACATGTTCACAAAATTCCATACATGAAATCTTACCAAAAGCTCAACTTACATCCGTGAAGCGAGGAGTTTTCTTGTCATCTGCATTGGACAGGAACTCCGAGCTTTCTGCCAGGTTTGCCTCTGCATTACCTGGAGTTCTGTCAGTAATAAAGACGCACATAACACCCATGAGAGATTGCCTGGCAAAGCACTGTCAAAGGAAACTTACTAAAGGGCTAACATCACCAAAACACTGATTTAGTGTGGGTGCTTTATTTACAGGTGCATGATGTGCAGCTGCAGAAAAAAAACTGTATTGTTTGCAAATGATTCCGCTCTGTGTATAACATACCTGGCATTTTCAGTGCTATTTGGTACAAGTTCCCTACAGAGCAGTGTAGGAGCCGCATCCACGAAAGCACAAGAGACATATAACACACCCTTAGATAAACACTACTGAAGGCATGTGGCCACAATCAGGAGAAAGTGATGTCTAGTTGAGAAACATTTGATTTGCTTATGTGAAGGCGAGTGGTTCTTCTACATGCAGGGTGATTTTGTTTTGCATATAAAAGAACATACAGGTGTTTCTTCAACTAAAGCCACTTTTAAATCTTGCAGAGAAAAAAAATAATTACTTTAAAGGAAACTTTTTGCATTCTCACTAATATGTTTTTTTCCTACTAGCAACATGCCTCAGAGTAGCATTCAGTTATTTTTTTCTAAAGCAAAACATTATGCATTTTGCAACATTTTAAATGAAATTGCCTTTGTCTTGTTAAGGCTAAATTCATAGCCAGCATTCTATGTATTTTATCTTAATTAAATATATAATTTTCACAAAATAGAAGTTGAAAATGTATGTCACTCAATGTGTAGATCATCAGTTTTAAACAGTTAATAACAATTTTGTGGTTATTTTCATATTAAAACATTGATTGCCTGGGTCTGAGAAAAGGGTAAAACAATCAAATCATTATATTATAGGCATTTGTATTTTTATGTGACCTAAAGAACAAATATAACCTAAAGAACAAAGTTAGACTAAAAATCTATTGTTGCCACATAAAAAGTTCCTGTAGTTGAAGAAACACCCATAAGCATTCATTTGCACAAAAACATCTACACAATCACAGACACATTGGAGCTGTGAACACAGTTATGAGAGCATAACATCAGTGCTACTGAATGTGCCCAGTGATGACTGAACTGTGCTGTTCGGTGACATTTAGGACTGTGATGACAGACAGGCTTCACCTTATTAAGATGATATGACTGGAAGCTTTAATGCTAGCTGGAAGATACTGCAAAAACACACACTAATGTTCACACAGACTGTACATATGCTCTAACAAAAGCTTAAGGCGCCCCTACGATAGACTGAATGATGGATTGAATGATAAAGCTTATACCAACTGAAACTGTATTACTAAATCTCCACACATTGGATGACTGACAATAAACCATCCTTAACCAGACAGACATTATATAGCACCCTTGAGCGAATACTTACCGAGCTGCATCTTCTGACTGGCTTTTTATTGCAGTTGTCTCCTCCCCAGCTTCGTGCCCCTTTCCATTGGGGATAGTGTTCATCTCGGCGGGCTCCATGCTTTCAGAGCGATTATTCTCGGTCTTCAAGTGTGCGTGTGTGTGAGAGGAAGGTGTATAGAGAAACTTTGTGTCGGTCCCTTGTTTCCCTATAAGAAAAGCATGCAAAAACCAGTACATATTAATCCCAGCTTGTTTAAAGGAGACATGGTGTGTTTCTCTGTGTAAAATGGAGCAGTGAAGGTATGTATTATGTAAGGCCTTGAAAGAAGCTTTCTGAAATTTGTCAGAAGACGACAGTCTGCATGAAGTGGAATTTGCATATTTTCTTCAATATTATGACGTATATTCTAGTGAAACGGCTTGTCAAACGAGAAAAAATGGGGGGGCAGCACTTGATTTTGTGAATAGATTAGATCATAGGGTTACAGGGGCGTTTGATTTTTTAAAAACGAATGATGCCAGGGATTAATTATTTATAATAAACACTGCAATATTCCATTTTAAAATAATATTTGTTAATTCTGATGTCACACTGACTTTAAGCTCAAGCACGAGTTGCATTCTCCAGTGTTTCCCACAGACTTTACACTCTATTTGTGGCGGCATATATGCAAACTCATTCTCTACCAGCAGGAGGCGCTTGTAGAGCGGTAGATATAGAGGTTTCCCCAGTAACACAGTAGCCCCTCACTGCAGAACACAAGATCCAGGGGGCGGGGTTGGATCCACATCTAGGGGGTGGAGATTGGTAGGTTTAGGGGTGGAGATGGGTGAGTTCAGGGATCAGGGGGTGGAGATGGGTAGGTTTTGGTATATGTAAGGTGGGAGGAGTTTGATCTGGACCCAACAACGCCCCCTGGATCCTGTGTTCTGCAGTGAGGACCATCTCCAGTAGCGGCTGTACACAAAGCAGCCCTTCGCTCACAAACGCTGCTTTGTCAGCCATTACATGCAAGATGAAACAAAAATGGCATCCAAAATTTTCTGAAGACAGTCGGATTCCTTCAGAAATACAGTGATATAAAAACACCCACACCGTATTTCGATTTTGAAATGCAGTGAAAAGCAGTGCTCAGTTTATTCAACGAAGTCAAAGCCTTTTGGAAAATCTATTTGTGGCAGTCAGTTTTGATATTGTGACGGGCCGCCACAAATAAATAAATGTATGGGAAACACTGATTCTCAACGTTGCCACAAGAGGTGATATAGCATGCATTAATGTGATCTGCATTTTCTCTATGGTTAGTTTTCATGTGAACTACTCTTGGAGAATATAATTTTTCTATAATTTTTCTTAGAATTAAAACAGTTTTCTTAGAATTTTTCTAATTTGAAATTAATTTGAAACAGAACTGTAATTCAAATTTGACTAAAAGGAAGGAGACTTACATCTACACCGAATGCTAGCAGTGTGACACAACAAAATACAAAGCACCTTCATTACTTGTGACGCGTAGGACAATGGATTTGCAATGATCGCTTTGATTCCTTGTGTCTGGTGTAGACACTGTGTTACAATGAACAAAAAAATTCATATAACTGCAATAAGTATCATTTTTAACAACAGAAAAAAGAAGGTTCATCAAGACAAACTTTGAATGATGGCCTGAAAGTTTTAAATAAATTTTAAAAAATTACTTTCCTTTACAGGTCTTAGAGACAGACAGAAGACTTTGGCTCTCAGTATTTCTCTCATGTGTTTCTTCCTTCTTGCATGACAAAACAGCTCCATCAAACCTCTGCCACTGCCAAATTAACGTTGCAAAACAGCCTGTAACCTTTTGCTCCGATACCGTCCAACTGAATAAGTCGTCACTTTCTTGACTCAACTGAGAGGTGTTGTTCTCGCTTTCCTCCTTTCACTATATGGCTCATGATGTCTCTATAGCTGTTTTTGTGGTCTCTTCCTGCCTTCATTGCATGACTCCCTGTGGCTTCTTATGATGGACCTGTTGGAGTGCTGAGTCCTGAAAGCACAAGCTGACATGATCTCCAGGCTCCCATTTGGCCCCCTGGTATTCCCAATCCTGGTCTGAAAGGACGAAGCCTTAATATCACATTAGCTACAAAGCATAAACAGAAGTAGGGGGAAAGAGGAGGGGAGGGAACCTACACTCCAAACCAGCGTGCCCATTGAGGAAGCCAGCAGAACCAGCTATGACCAGCTTAGAACTAGTTCTGGCCCTCTTTGTTCATTCGTCTCGCTTTTATTTTTTTTACTGCTTTCTTCCAAGTCCTTTGCTTTTAATTAGGAGAGGCTTAACATAACAGCCATGTTCTCTTCATGTTTGAAACTCTGGGCTGGCATAACCTCAAGTTCCCTCTCCGTCTAGCTCCTTTTCTGTCTTCTACCCCCTCGCTTTTCCCCACTACTACTAAACTTGAATTAATAATCAACCAGAAAATGAATCGGTGTGAACTCTGAGAAGATAAACTCTGGATAATCCGTCGAGATGCCACGTTACTCGGTTTGCTGTGCAGTCACGCCAAGAGCAATGTGGTTGGGCAGCTAAGCACGGTACACAATTGGGCATGCTGTGTGGTTTCCTGGGAACAGGGTTGGAGGAACAGAAGGGTGATTGTGCCAAGCGTCATTATACCAGTGGGGCCTCCTCGGCTCAAACTCGCCAGGGCACTCGAAGGGCTGAAAAGGTAATTCATTGGGCTCCCTAATTCGAAAAAAACATTGAACCAGGAAGCAGACCTATGATGGGAGCAGATGTCTGTGCCAAGATGCTGAATGGAGAACCAGCCTGTCCTTCATGCACTCCGCTAATCAGACAGACACTGGCCTGACCGTAACAAATATATGGTTACACGTGATTGGCCGGAGGAGTTCAAGGCTTTGGGCGGAGTCAATTGAGCAAACCGTAACAGGTCCCATTGTCGCATATTCAGACACATAATAGCCACTGCATTCACTTTGCACCGGAACATGCGACAACTTTCAACCGGGTCTGAAAAACACGAACAGAATTTGTTTTCATTCTACTCTGATGTCTGGCAACTACTAAACACACTGGGGAAGAAACAGCATTGCCAACTGGGTCAAGTTTCTTGAATAATGAGAAGTTTATTCACAGATTAAATACTCAACGCAGCCTGCTTTCAATTGCTCATCTAGACTAAACCCGCTAGAACAGGCGCACACTTCCGAAGAGTCATAATATCGCCTCCCTACTGATGTAACAATGTCCCACATTCTCAAAAAGAGGCTGGGACATGCTAATCTGTACTCATTATGTCTGCATGACATGAAGCAGTCACATGCAAAAAAGCATGAATGCTGCATTTGTTGTGGCATGATGTGGTGTTGTCAGGAGCTGATTTAGCTCTGTGTCTGTGAAAAGCACTTATTAGAAGTGCTGCAACGACACATCAATGTTCATTAACAGCCTACGAATGTATTTAAAGTGTCCATAAATTACTATTATTAAAACTGTTTCATCCCTCTCTGTCATGGGATTAAACAGCAGCGAAAACTTGAGTGCAAAAGAGGAAGAAATCGAATGGATTAGAGCAAGAGGTGGAAAGAAAGTGATTAAAGGGATAGTTCATCCAAAAAATAAAAATTACCCCATAATTTACTCACTCTCAAGCCATCCTGGGTGCATATGACTTTCTTCCTTTAGACGATTACAATTGGAGTTATATTTAAAAATGTCTGGGCTCTTCCAAGCTTTATAATGGCAGTGAATGGGTGATATTCGATAGTCCAATAGAAGTCCAATAAACTGTGCCCATCCATTATAAAAAACACCAAAACACCGGTCAATTAGAAATACAAAATGAGGATTTGTAAAGAAAAAAGTCAGAGGATTTCAATATAAGCCAAGAGAAGACTGGTTTTCTTTTACTAAAGTAAGGAAACTTGCCTCCTTTGCTCCTGTAAACAAATCTTGGTTCTCACGAGACTAGCATATTCTCACTGGACCTTACACTACGCCTACCTTCTATGTCATCCGCTGGAACGTGACTATCTCATGAACGCGTGTACAACAGTTAGCGGAGGCTAGAGATTACGGTTTATAAAGTTTTAAATATGGTTATTTTTCTTACAAAAAGGATTTTTTTATATATTGTCAATGGACAATGGTAATTATATAAAAACGCAATATTAATTAAACAGACTATACATTTCATCTTATTATTTACATAGCAACGCATCATGCAGGCACAATAGCGCTGTATGACAGATGTATCACTTTTATTTAGATTTTCCTTTTTTATTCAAAATATCCACTACATTTTTCAGTACACCACATTCAGTAAAACCACTTTGTAAGACTTTGAATGTTAAAGTGCAAATTAGCACCTGACCACTCCTGTGGGTTTGCTATTGTTACAATTAAAAATTGTAGAAGGGTAAAAACATGCCAGGCAGACACTGGTATAATGTAAGCAACACAGCTACAACATATAAAATTGATAATGAGTGTGTTAGATTTATAAGTGTGTGAATAATCAAGCACTGACAATAATCAGTCTTATTGGCAGCACAGAGGGGCCCCCAAATATAATTCTGCTTAGGGCCCCATAAAGGCTTGGGCCGGCCCTGGTTGCTAGAGTGTTCTCGGAGGTTGCTAGGTCGTTTCTAGGTGTTTGTTAGCGTGTTCTGGTAGGTTGCTAGGTGGTTGCAAAAAAAATTATAATAAAAAACCTACCCACAAGTCTCTATGATATTCTGGTCTCTAGATGTAGTGTCCCTTCTTTATTTGAAATATAAATCTTTTGTAACATTATAAATGTCTTTACTGTCAATTTTGATCAATTTAATAAGTCCTTAATAAAAGTATAATTTCTTTAAAGAAAAAAATTATTTTTGTTTTTATCATCTCTACAGCTTACCTTTCAATTAGAAAAGTATGTGGTGCATCTACTGTAAGTTTAATACTAATAACACAAGCAGTACATCTCTCCTGGGGACAGCTTGATTTTCTAGGGTGAAACAGTCCTAACATGATCCAAAAAATGTGAGAGAAATATCTCTTTGTCTCCAAATACCACAAAATCGTATTTACAAAAGTGAACTGAAAGACAAAATGAGATGAAGTGAGACAGAAAGAAAGATAAGAAAAAAAGAGGGGCAGACAAAAAAATCTTGCACCCCCGTAACACAGCTAGACCAGTGAGACAGCTGATGCAA